GGTTGTCATGACCATTTGCAAGGATTGCTTGATTTTCTAATTTTCTATACACAAAGATACAAAAAGATGAAATTAGAGTGGCAATTTCAAATGAAAGAATGGGGTGGTCGAGAGAAAAAAAAAAGTATTTACAGATTCTGTTCCCTTGCCTGTATCTGGGCAAAACTGCAAACGTGGGAGTTTTGAACGTGGGAGTTATCTGCCCTCCATGCTGTCTTTTGAACTACATCCTGGATTGTAATTTGAAGACACAGTGTTACAAGGCTACCATTAGGTGGTCACTACCCTTTGGTGATCCTTATTTATGTGCAAGTCCTTGAATAAAATTCCTGGCTGCTGCCCATGGCAAGGCAGGCTTAAGGTCTGGAGTGGGGGACTTTGTTTCCCTGATGAGGCTGGACAAGAAATAAAGGCATGAAAGCGACCCGGGAGCATGAAAGGCAGCGTCTTGCTGGCCACGCGGCACGGGCCATCAGCCACAAAACCCGTGTGGGGCTGCACACCGGAGCAAGGGCAGCCCTTGTCTTCCCCAAATGCCACTGCACAGCAGCAGGGGAGCCAAAGGAAGGACCAAGGACTGCGGCTTAACCCAAAAGAACCTCAAAAATGGCAAGAAAACGAAGGGGGAGCAGCCTAACTAGTGGTTATGTCTGTGTGTTTTTTGTGCTACCTAAAATAAAGGGTTGTTTTGAAATACTTCCAAAAGCTATGTCTGTGTTTGCCTTCACTATTAGATAAATTTGAAGAAGTGGATGATGAACCCAAGCAACACTGTGCAAATATGACTGAAATCTGGACTATCAGTGCTGGCCCGAGAGACACAAGGCAAAATGCACAGCGTGGCTGAAACTCTGTGTCTTCATGGTGACAGCAAGGGATTTGCGTGCAGGAACGATGCCAGACACACCAAGCAGAAGTCTAAAGTAAGGCACTGGTCACACCAAGGGAGCTGGCAAGTGCATGGGCCCGGATTGCTAGAACTGGCCCAGGATGCTGAGGGACACGGGGCTGCAGCAGGAGCGAACGCCGCGAGACCCCCAGCTTAGCTGTTCGGTGTGAAATGTGCATGTCTGAACAGGCAGGTGCCCTGGCCCCGCAATCACGGCACGCCGACCTTCGGCAACGCGCAGGCTTGCGACAAGCTGCGTAACGCACAGCGCCACTTCTCCATTCCAGCCCAGCCAGGCGAGGGGACCACAACCACACGGGTGGCTTTGAGAAGAGCACATGAACTCGACTCCTGGCTTGTGCTTTTATCCGACACTATCCTTTTCCCGAATAGAGGTGAGATGTGTTTAATCAGTGGGAGAACCAGGAGGATGGAGGAACTGTACTGACTTGGGATTTGGTTAAACTGCACACTGTTTCAGTGGGCGTAATGCACAGAATGACTACTCTGGCAGACTTTTACTGCCAGCAAGACTGTGCTTTTGCAGACAATCAATCAGCATTTATACAAACCGACACAAACTTCCCTGGACACTATCAACACCTTAACCAATACTAAAATTACAAGGTTCGCTGGCACTCTCCCCCAGTCACGTCATATGGTTGTTCGATGCTCATCCTACTTTCAAACTTCCTCAAACCTTCACATACTTAAAGGAAGTTTAGATAAAGTTTGCGGAACCAAGTCACACATCCTAGGAATGGTTTTGTCAGTGTCACTTCTGACACATTCTATAATTGCTTCAAAAACACTGAAAATGTTTTCCAGTCATCAAATATTCCTTCAATCACTTCCTTCTTTCTCCTTGGGAAAACTGGTAGATGAGTAACTGAATATAACAACTTTCCTACCTAGTCTGTCTTTAACTGCCTGTTTAGGGATAAGAAAAGACTTTGCAGTATTAGTAAAACCTAAGAAAAACAGGCTAGTTTTTCGGCCTAATGAACAACAAAATCCACTGTCTATCATATAAAATACTGTCATTTGACAAACTTAGGTATTTAAAATTGCCAATTAAGTAAGAAACAGCAAAGATCTTCCTTCTTTGACTCACTCTTTAGCACAGATTCACGATGAAGTTATACAACATTCTCAGCCAAGTACTCCTGCAGTGGAATATGTACATTTTTTCTTGCTCATAAATTTACCTTAGACATTCAATGGCTAAAATTAATGAAATGTGGCCTGAGAAAGACATGAAGATATGATACCAACTTGCTTTTATCAACAGATTTCCAAATTTTAACTTACTCTCCCTTTAAACCTCTCTAATACACGCAATCATGCATGAGAAACATTCACACATTCAAATATTTACAGGAAAACATAACTAAGTGATCTACTGAGTAGATCTCAGTAGACCTCTCAGCTTAAGCATCCATAATAATGATACTACTAAAATGCAAACCCATGAAAATCTAACTAATGTGATACTGATGCTCAAGAACACATTACTAACAACTAGTAGGTTAATAAAAACACTCAGATTAAAAATCTGCTAACAATTGCTTACCTAATTCTTGCTTACAGTATTCAGACACCTGACATGTTGCTACACATCTGTCTAATTTGGGGTATCCGACCAGTACTCCATGGAACAAACTGTAAAGTTATTCAACACATCTCTGCTATTTTATTCCTTCAAAAGTTATTCTTGTACCATGGTGCTGACTTCCCCAGCAGGTCTATTGCTCCTGCAGCTGAACCTAACTCGCAGGAGGCTGGGGAAGGGGCAAATAGCAAAGGCCATTAAATGCCAGGGACAAGTTCACGAAGGCTGCAGGAAACCTGAAGGCTTTTTCTTACTTCCTTTTTCCTTAAAGGTAAATTTTACTGACCCTCAATAGAGTGAAGACAAATTTTGCCACTGCTCAGTCACTGTCACTGAAAGGTGCATCGAAGATGAGAGATGCACTCATGGAAAGCAAGTTGTGGCATTAGGCCCTCAGAAAA